TTGCAATGTGATATAAGAAAAATAAACTTACAAACTTATGAACTTCTTGACAATTAAATAAATCAACAAAAATAGTCTATAATTAAAATATTTTTAAAACATTTCTTAGAATTGTGAGCACTTGTCTTCTCTATTAAAAATAGAACTTGATTATTGATGAATTCAAACGTGGAAAAAACCCAGATGATTTAGAAGAATTAGGTAGGCTTTGAATGCGGTAATCAACCCTCACGTCAACTCAATTCTATAAATATTTGTCCATTACCTACCGCATCCCTTGGTTGTGGTATGTAGTGTCTGGGTGGAAAGACTAAGGATAGCATTGCTTCCTGCAGGTCTACCAGAGGGGACAGACTCGGCACGGTTGTGGGCGCTGGAAGGCAGCTTACCTTGTTTCAGAGCACCTTCTCCAGCTCTGATGAAAGAGATTTCGTTGGAATCGACCATGTGGTGTGCTCCATCCTGCAGAACAAACCGGAGCCCAGAGAGCTTGTGACCAGAAAGAGGGCCCTTCTCACAGGCATCCAAAAACCCCTGTCAATGAATGAAAACAACTTTTGGAAGGAGTGGATTTCACTTCAAGATGCATTACCAAAAATGTCAAATGAAAAGATGCACTAGTCTGTTCAGAAGTGCACTGTTCTTAGGACGTATGCCATGTTTCATCCCTCAAGAATGTTAAATCAAAATATTTACTCATTAAGTGTCTGTACTATGGCATCTAGATGAGCAAGCCCTTGGAAAAGTATATGACTTCCAGGTGTGAGCTAGCTGGAGAGGATGCTAACAATCACTTTCTCACAGCCCCGCCTTCCAGAATCCCTCAACCCACAACCCATGGAGAGGCAACAGCATGATCCTTGATTTTATACAGAGGAAACAGAGGAAGAGCAAATCTAAGGAACCTCCTAAGAGAAACCTTGCATCAGCTTTGGTGTTTACCTCACAGCTGTGTCTGAAGCCCCTACTCACCCTATCTCTGCTATGCCTTGAGGGCGCTTCACTATGTTGTAAAGACACAAAGTGTAAAGTCAGACCATGCCAGTAAGAAGTGGCCTTAAAAGGTTATTTTACTTTTCCAAATGCAACCTTTTAAAAAGCCAGTTTCATTGATATATATAATGGATACACAATAAGCTACACGTATTTAAGAGTAAAATTTGGTAAGCTGGCAATTCTTTTTTACCTAGTCACATAAAACTCCTATAATTGAATTAGTTTTCCCTGTCAAGCCAATCACATGGCTGCACATACGTATATTTCTGACATTTTAAAACTGTGAATTGTGTTTGATAAAAAATACCTAAGCTCTCCTTCACCTATGTTAGAGACAATGTATCTTGAAGTGTGTGAACAGTCTTGAAGTAAGAGTGCAGTGCACAGTACACACCACCCACCAAAACACCACCACCATCACTAAAGCTAAAAGAATGGCCCATTAATAAGGATTTTTAAGTTAAAAGGTTAAAAAACAAACAAGCAAAACCACTCAGAACCCATCTGGCGATCTGGACAGCAGAACACCTCATGATTCCCCAGGATGCGAGAGTCTAACATCTCAGTTTTGTGAAGGGGGGCAGGTTCAAGTATTTTTACTCTCAGTTTACAAATTAGAAAACTGGTTCTAACACTGAGCCCAGGGGCTCACTGATATGCAAGCAGCAAAGATGACCCAGTGCCCAGGTGTTCAGCATCTTAATGTCATTCCACTACAACAGGACGTGAACATTCCATAAATCCCTAACGACCAGAACAAATGTCAACTGCTGATGTCAAGCAACATAGCAGCTTCCGTTTATGAAGAAAAATATGATAACTACGATTAAGAAACAAATGATTTCCCATCATTGCCACAGCACATATCCATATTGTTTGAGCTCAGTGAGCTAAAAGTTTCACATCAGAAGTAAAGCTGAACAGTCAGTCAGAGAAGCAGGCCTGCAGCCAAAATGAACAGGGTGGACAATATACCAAAAGAGAAGTATGATTCCATGCTCACTGAACTGATTTTAATAAATGAAAACACAACACAATTTTGTGAAACGCACCTTTTCTACAGCAGGCACAAACTGCTTTGGAACATTTGACCCAAATGTTTCATCTGAAAACTCCAACTTGGTGTAGTTCTCTGGGTCTAGAGGCTCCAGCACACCTATCACTTTTCCAAACTGGCCTGCACCGCCTGATTGCCTCTTATGGGTAAACTCGAACCTGGAAGAGATTTAAGAGGCAGAAAACCAACAGAGCATTACATGATTACCAAAATGGAGTTAACTCCTACTAATTCAAATGGAAAAAAAAAACATATTTTTCTGTATACAATCAATGCACACTAAAAAAAAAAAAAGGTAATTAAGAGTCCAGCTGGAGGCGCTTGTTCTAATAGCCTGCATTCCAGGGAGCTGCCCACTCTGGAACCCCTCCTTCCCTGGAACACAGCCTTTTCTGCGTCTCTCACTGTGGACAGCTGATTTACTCAGGTCATTCCTATCTGACTTTGCTATTTAGGCATATAGATTATAAGGGTATTCATTCCAGATGGAATAATCAACACCTGAAAATGATTAATGGCTAAATGACAGCAACCAACATAAATAAGTTATGAAAGTCACTTCAGACACAAATCTGCGTCTGCTGCAAATACAGCATCACAAATACGGTAGAACAAGCATTTTATATACATATTAAAATATGTAAACACAGGCTATTTCACAGGAAAAACACTTCATGAGTATGCCTGCAAATAATTTATTGCCTTAACCTGAAGCCCTCCTCAAGACCATGGATGGAAAAGGTCACTTTCAAGAGTATCTGCAGGTAAGTGGACACGAATGGGGAAGTACTCTGGGTACAGGTGGAATAAATATCAGCCTGGCTAGGAGATGCCAGCTTGGAACAGGCCACTTTCCTAAACAGTCCACATATGAAGAACCCGGACTAGCCGCCTCTCAATGATCTTCCAGCAGTCAGGGCCTTCAGGATGGCTGAAGGGAAAGTGGGAAAACAACTGCCAAATCACCATAGAACAGCTTCGAGGGGATTTCCAAATCCACAGCAAATTGACACACAGACATAAAGTTTACTATGTGACATTTTAAGCCTTATCTTCAATTTTACATGATAGGACATCAACACACACTCTCCATCTGTACTGTCGGCACAGTGATCACTACCCCTAGCTACTTACACATCACAATTAAATAAAACAAAAAAACTCAGCTTCTCAGTTGCACCAGTCACAACCCAAGCCCTCCACAGCCCCACATGGAGGGTGGCCACTGTCAGGGACACAGAACACTTCCAGAGATCTACTGGGCAGCAACGCTCTGGAGGACCAACTTGCAAATGAGGAGTCCCACAGTTTCAGGGACCATGTCTGAACTTGTGATTGAGAGGCTGCGGAGCCATGCAACATTGCAGGACTGTGCTAAGCACTGCACATGGACGGTCCCCCTTGTTCTTCACTACATACATACCCATGAAGCAGGTGCTCTTTAATCATCACTCTACAGATAAGAAACCCAAGGATCAGAGAGGCTAAGCTACTAAGAGGCACAGCCAGGGCCTTTGAACCCAAAACCGATGCTCTTAACCAAGTACTCTTCTAGAAGGCTAATGATATAAACTGATAACCACTCATCTTAAAACATACGAGGAGGCACTGCATGAAGGAAGATTTTGCAGCAGTTTAGGTAAAGATACTGAAGAACAGAAACACTCTAAACAGACATGGTGACAGCAAAAGAGCCCTGCCCGCAGTCAGACCATTGCACGCTGTGAAAGGCAAGGTAGTTTTGACAAAACTTCAGTCTCACACTTAAATTAATGTTAAATTAGAACTATGTTGGTTTTGCTGTTTATCTCTAACCTATAGACTTGTTTTGACTTTACAGTCATAATAAAGCTGCAAGCCACAGCCATTTTTACTTAGTTTTATGCTTATATAGTCACATAAGATTATAGTATAATCTACCTGATCCCAGAGAATCATAAATCTTACTTTGAATCATAAATCTACACATTATTCAAGTCTGAGGATGGACTCAGTACTAACCATTAATGAAGCTATAAAACTTCAAAAACCCATTTTTAAGTAAAAGAGAAAAGAATCTCTATTTCCATTTCAACCAATTAAGGTGAAGTTCTAACCATAGGCCTGATGAAAAGGAACCTTACTTCCTGATCTTCAGCAAACCCAGAGAAATGCCTAAGGTGCAAATCTTTTAAGGTGGCAAAAGGAATAATTTCAAAAAACTGGATAGTGGAAATTCACTGCCTTCTAAAAGCTCTCCTGTTGAAGCAGCTGTGAAACCTCACTTTTGTCAGAGCTACTTCAATGCAGTCTGTTGTGTTCAGTTTTTAGGTATGTTTCAGAGCAAAATTTTCAAAGTGATTAGAGTCAGATGCATGGTGTTGTATCGAAAACCTCATCTAAGATCAGCAAAGGAGGAGTGGAGTGCAGGTGCATCTCCCCCTCCCCCATCCAAATTACTTAGTCCCCAGTTTAATTCTATAATTTGTAGTCTCTCATACTTGAATTTGGTTAGACCTGATCCAACCCCACAGAAAACTGAGAAAGAAGGCGCAAATCACACTACCTGTGACACCTCTGCAACCTGCCCTATGTAAGGCCCTGCTGTATTAAGAAAGTTGTGCTCTAATCTGAAAGAAAAGCAGGCAGACAGTCTCTTTTTTTAGTCTAATTCTTACGAGTTGCAGACTAATAAGGAAATTCATTAAATGGTATTTGAGTGCTAGACAAAGACAGCTTTTCAGAGCATAATTCAGTGCTGCAATCTTTTAATTTTATATCTAGACGCAGACTACTTAAGAGGCCCCAGCAACGCAAAGGCCAGAGAGCCCTGTTTGCCTAAGGGTTTAGGAGAGACCAAGTCCCCGCAGCCCTTAGCGCCCCAACTCCCTTCCTCCCGCCTGCAGGCGGCGCAGGCCTGGCAGCCGCTGGGCGGGCGAGGCCAAGGGGCGGGGCCACGGCAGCCTCCTAAGCGGGGAGGAAGTAGAGGGCAGCGCCCGCGCCGCGCGCCCAGCCCAGCCAAGGCAGAACCTTGCAGCACAGAGCTGGGTCCAGGCAGCTGCTTTAACATGGAGATTCCGCCAGAACACTACGCGGCCTCCAGGGCGGTCTCGGTGGCCGAGAGCTGCATCAACTACCAGCACGGAACCCCCCACCAGGTGTTTCTGGTGCAGAAGGTGGAGGAGGCCCGCTTGGAGGTGAGTCCAACAGGACCCAGCCAGATGTCGGGTGGGCAAGGTGGGACCCGCTGGAGTGGTAGTGAGGAGCGAGTCCCGAGAGGGGTGAGTTGCGCAGGAACCGCCAGGTGTCCCTGGGGCAGACCCAGGATGAGGGAGCCTGGAGGTGGGTACTGCGGGGGTGCAGGCCTGGGCCCTCTAGCCCCCAAGTTAACGTTCCTGGGGTAGTCTAAGCTCCAGTCCCTTCGTTCGTTCTCTTCCTGGTAAGGGAGAAACGCCAATACCATTTCAGTGCCCACCCTGACAAGGAAATAGGGAATTACAGCTGACTTTAACACTTTCCCTAGGGGACACCATAGAAATCATTCAAAAAAAAATCTTAAAACTGCTACTGTTTCTTATCTGCTAATCTACCTTCCAAAGGACTCCACTGCCTAAACTGTAAGACCAATCCTTATTAGACCCTTTGACCAAAATGAAGGGGAACACCAAGAGCAAAAGAAGCTGACCTCCAAAGTCAGAAAAGAAAAGCCTCTGAGCTGAGCTTGGAGGTAACCACCATCACATTACATGGCTGCCTTTGGGCTGCTCCGGGCTGAAGGGTGCAACTGGAGGATGCTCGAAGCTGCAGCATGCCCACCTTACTATATTTGGGTAGTCCCTCATTTTTATTTATCAGATATAATTTTTAACCACTGATGGTTTTCAGAGCTGACAGGGAATAGATTCTACTCCAAAACTGCAACAGATAGTACAAGTAGGGTAAACTCCTAATCTGTCTCTTGACTGACAAGTATCTAAATGTTTGTCTTACTCCTGTAAAAAACTGTTGAAGTACCATTTTGCAGGGCCACTAATACACAAGTTAAAACAGTACTTAAGTACAGCGAGTCTCCAAACACTGCAGTAATCTGCCTCAACATGGAATCCATGTTCACTGACTCGGAGGGCACCATGGGCTTTATGAAAAGTCTTTTAAAAGGTATATCCTATTTGTCATCTTTAGATTAAAAGCTCTTTGAAAATTATTTATGTAGAGAATTAAATTTTACAGATCTAGGGGTTGGAGTCTGATGATGATTAAAAAGTGAGCTGTGCCCTTTTTATTTGTATACTTCTCTTCTACCCTTGTCCTAATCCAAACAGACTGGACAGAGAATCTGCTCAATTAAATGTTAACTGGTGACATGCCTCTCTCAAGATGCATGGCTTTAATCATGCCCCTCACCAGCCAGCCCTCCTCTCCCCATTAAAGAAGAATGCATTTCCTAAAAATGTGACTATTTGACTTATTTTCTTTTTTACACATTTTCTTAAATTTAGGATATTCCAGGAAGAGGACACAAGTACCACCTTAAATTTTCTGTGGAAGAAATGACACAAAAAGTAAGTGAAGGGGCTGGGATGGTGGCTCAGTTGACAGAGCATTTGCTTAGTATGTGTGAGGCACTGGGTTCAATCCTCAGCACCACATAAAAATAAAATAAAGGCTTTGTGTCTACAACAAAAAAAAAGTTTTAAAAAGTGAAATATCCTTTTGTATAAATGTTATTCTGAATATTTAAAATCATCTGTGTTGATCAAATCTATAGCATTTTAGATTTTTACTTTTTTTAAATTGTTGTGAGATCCTTGACTCCTTTTGTAAACACTGACCATCTAGTCATATGGTCAAAGCTTACAAGGGCCAGCTTTGTAAGCTTACTCCAAAATTTACTATCTTTGTGTATTCTGATATACATCCTGAATTATTTCTACTGAACTATTTAGAAAACAGACTATACTTCAGTTCAAATATATTAAGAAGTTACATGCTCACAGGCAGCCTGAGTTTATGTCCAACATGGCTGAGTGAAGTCATTTACTTTCCAGTCCTTTTGCCAGCATTTAGAGAAGGCAGGCAAGTGCTTTCAGGTATCCACGAGCAACACAGTGACCAACTGATACCACTGCTAAGGCCCTTTGTGGGGCAGAGAAATTTTAAATAATTATACATGTGTCGAATTATTTTAGAAAATTTAAAAGAAACTGCAATTTGCACCATAACCATCTTGGAATTTTTAAAACCCTGCTCTTTTTTGAGTCTAATTATGAAGAGATACAGACTAATAAGGAAATTCATTAAACAGTATTTGAGCTACTAGACAAAGACAGCTTTTCAAAGCATAATTCAGTGCTGCAATCTTTTAATTTTATATCTAGACACACACTGCTTTATCTGTGTTTGAAAGGAAATTATTTCAGGAGCAGGATGTTAAGAGTAGTGGAAAAACTTAAAAAGTAACCAGTGTTGGGTTGGTATATAAATCCAGATTAAAATCTGATCTCACAAATGGATACTCCATTAATACTGAAATATACTCAAAGCTTTAGGTTTAGGATTTGTAAGATTGTGATACTTAAAAGTTGTAATTAAAAAATCCACTTTAGGGTACTTGCCTGTTAACTTTAGAAAAGGAATAGGATAGGCCCAATTAGATGTCTCTGAAATCAGGCACTCTGGGTCAAGTCTGAAACCCCTTTAGGGTTGATGCTCTAAAGCCATCTCACAGAATAATCAGTAATTTATGCCATCTCTACATCCGGATCTTTTGCAAACATGTTTCCAACAGCAAGTCACAGTGAACTGCACAGCTGAAGTACTTTACCCTCCAGTGGGACATGGCACTGCACCAGAAGTCTCCTTCACATTTGAAGGAGAAACTGGGAAGAGTCCAGATGAAGAGGATAATACATTCTATCAAAGACTCAAGTCCACAAAGGAACCACTAGAAGCACAAAATATCCCAGGTATATATAGGACATAGAAAAAAATGTTAAGATTAACCTCTATGCTCAAAATTGTCAGATGTTAACCATGTTGGAAATATCCTGGCTTTGACAACAAGATTAATTTCCAATGAAGCCAACAAAAAAAAGAAGCCTTGGAACTTTAGAGATCCATGGCTTAATTATTTTCTGCACAAATTTGAAGAAAACTAAGACTTAAAAAATCTAGATTTTTTCAAAGGTTAGAACTGTATATATGATATAATTACATTTCTCATGTCTCCCCACCAGACAGTTTCGGAAATGTATCTCCACAAATGAATCCAGTTCGGCACTTAGCCTGGGTTGCCTGTGGTTATATAATATGGCAGAATTCTACTGAAAACACATGTTATAAAATGGCCAAAATTCAAACTGTCAAGCAAGTGGTAAGTACTCTCTATAAAGCACATTATTGGCAGGATGAATGCTGACTAAAAGTATTGCAATTCACAGTTGGACAGTATTCTAGTCATTTTGCATTTAACATAGTGAAGCTGATGTTTTGAAGAAGTCAATCCTGACTAGAGAATATAAAGAGTTGTAGGAAGAATCCAAAGAACAGCAACCGAACCAGTCACGTGGTTGGGTTGGCCAACAGACGCAAACCACAGGCCCCCTTTGCCTCCAAAGTTGGGCTCCTCTTCCCAGTGCCAGGTTAGTCTGCATTCCCTGGGCACATGCTGACAAGGAAGCATAACAGCAGCAAGGCAAAGTCAAGGGTCTCGTAATGAGCAGTACTTAGACTGCACCTTCCCAAGGCACCGCAGTCGTGATGGTTCTTCACCTTTCATGTTGGCTTGAAATATAGCTCTGATGCTTCACTCAAACCCTCTTCTTGAGCAAAAAGGTCTGTAGAGTTTTATTAGTAGAAGCAAGACAGAACCCCAGGCACCCAAATCCTTGCAATGACTGTCTTTAACGTGCTATGCACAGGTTCTCAGAACCACCTTCTATGGCAGTCACGTGAAGCTGAGCTCTCAAGAACAGTTTGGCACCCAATACACGTTATTCCCTTTAGCAACCAAAATTCATGTTCCCATCACTTGTGCACTATCCTGGACTCTGCTTTTGTTCTCTGCTGAATGCTGGTGCCACTGGTACTTAAGAGATATGTCTGGCCTTTTCCCCAAGGCTCAGCTTGAAGAGCAGAAGCACTGCAGTCTCTGTGAAGCCTGCTGTACTGCCTCTCAAATAATTCCACTACTTGCTCCTGAGCTTGCTGCAGTTTTCTTTCATAACCCACTTAGTCACACTTTACAACCTCACATCCTGTTGCTAGCCTTATGTTTCCTTACGTGTGATATGACATCTATTAAGAAGTACATCTTTCTAGATCTTAAAAAAATCTATGAATAAATTCTTTGATTTTAGCTTTATTAAGTGGTTAAGAAGAGAAAAATTTCAACTAGAACCTAATGGGAATCAAGAAACACAGAATGCAAAGAAGCCACAACAGTTTGAGTCAGCTCTATGAGAGAAAAGGACTTCCCTGCTGACTTGTTTCAGCTTGCTGGCAACAAACTGTGAGGCAGCTGGAGCACCTTTTCTCTGCAGGCTTTTGTAACCACTTTAGGCAACTATGGGCACTGGAGGGCAAGATGCCCAATTACAGTACTCAGAGTCAATGCCAAAAGCCCAGCCTACATAGCACAACATTTTGAGAAACAGATTTCACAGACATCAACCCTGCTTACAACATTCCCATAAGGGTACCTAAGCTTCAGTAACTGACTCCAGGTACAGAGAGTCCTAAAATCATTACTGTGATTTTTCAAGCCAAGTCTTTAGTAATATGTGTACAAGACAATGTTGGTAGTTTGACAAAAAACAAAAACAACAAACTCCTGAAACCCTTCACCAAATGATGATTTTTAAAGTATTAATGAAAATCTCAACAGAGGGGTTTAATCACAGCTTTACTTTCTATATATTATCTATCTTTACTTATTAAGATCCAACATATAAAAACCCTTATGTATGCACTATTCTTTGCTGATACTGTCAAAGGAAGGATTACTTGAAGACACTACGAAGAGAGAAGAGTATGCTCTTATCTGACCCTAGGCCACACTGACAACCACATTTAAACAAAGGAGCCCCAGGAGCTGTGCTGCACCTTGGACTCTAGGGCTTGGCTCAGCACGTCACTCCTAAGCCTTACAGAGACATGTATGGCACAGCAAATCTCTGGTGATGGTTTTAAACTGTGCAAGCACAGCAGTTCTGTGTGGCTGATAAATACTTTTTATTCCCAAAATAATAAAGAGTATGGAACAAAAGTTTAATTATAAAATGAGATGACCACACTGATTATATATTACAATTTCCCATTTTCTAGAAGAGAATCTCTATCGTAAAAATTGGCTTCTTAATGTGAACATTCATTGCTATGGTTTCTCTTAAGTGATAATTTTATCAACAACAGAAACACTAAAGGTTCTTAAGTAATAAGCTACACAGAATAAGGCTAAGTGGCTACCATAACATGGAAGGTAAAAACATACAAACAACTTTTAGAGTAACAAATAGAATAATCATGACTTTAAAATATAGTTTGACAGAATGCTTATTTAGAAGACTACTTTTTGTCAGGCTCAACTGAAATAAATCATGACACCTTTTTTTTTTAACCTAAGTGGGAATATTATAATCATCTAATAATCAAAGCTCATTTTAAAATTAAAGCTGCAGTTTTAAACACCAGGCTTTTGTTTATCACAGCAAAGGAACGATGACTTCATTGAACTAGACTACATCATCCTGCTTCATGACATCGTATCGCAGGTACAATATCACTTGTCTGTTCCATGTCTTTCAGAGCCACAGTAGGTTTTATTAATTCTATATCTAACTCAGAATCTGTGTAGACTCAGACAGGGACTAGGCTGAAACAGATTATATTTGTAGCAATCTAGCCTGCTTTTTGCTATTCCTCATGAAGACTGTGTTGTCACCAACAAAGTCTAAACCCACTGTATCTTCTGAATTGTTCTCTAAAATTTATCATACCACTACTTTTCCTTACTTCTAGGAGATTATCCCCTGGCAAATGCAAGTTCTCTGGCACCCACAATATGGGACAAAAGTAAAACATGACAATCGTCTCCCAAAGGAAGCACAGCTGGAATAAAAAGACCCTTCCATTGAGATGGAGTGCAGACATGTCTATTAATGATGTGCAAGTCAGTCCTCACTAGAATCTGGCCTGGGGGAGCCAAACAAATCCTGAAGTACCATTCTATATAATGTCATGCTTACAGTATAGAACTGTACCGATTCCATAATAAAAAATACTACTACATAAAAATGTCTTTATACCAATAATGATTTTGTACATCTCATAATTAAGTTACAGTTTCACTCTCACAGTGTATGATTACATTGCATACTTACGGGACAGGGGCAGTAATGGTCTCTCGAAAGGCAACTTTTGGCTTTCCTGTGATACAAGGGCAGCCATATTCTCTTTCCATTCTCTTTTTTAAAAAAAAAAAAAAAAGGGAGGGGGAAGATTATTTTTTTTGGCATAATGAAATTTTTAAAATGAACTGAAGAAAAATCCTAAGCAGCTTAAACATCCGAGTAGCATTCACTTAAATATAACAGATCTTAAATCACTGCAGTGTCTCATTAAGGATTAAATATGTGATATTTAATGCTTAATTTATACTTACTGCCAATTAATTTATCTGCTAAAATCTCACCACTATTCCATATTTTTCTGTCAGAATTTTCTACCTCAGCTTCAAAGAAATGGTCACTCCATAATTTCCAGTGACATATCTTTTGCTTTCATTTACATGTACATGTATGACCTTTCCCAGGAACATTCTTTAACTATCCTACAATGGTCTTTAAGCACGGACTTGAGAAGAAATGGCCTAAAGAGTGGGTACAACTGCCAGTAGTCTCCCAAGGCTAGGACCAGAAATTTTTTGACCTAGATGGATAATCTTGTTGCAAATCCTCTCAGCCCCAATTCTAGAACTCCACAATACTGAACAACTGAAAGCAAAAAAATAACTGATACACAGTGGAAGAAACTGTACACCACATGTGGATACAAACCAGAGTGAAACTTGGAGAAGCATGGAGTTTACAGTCATTATACTGAGCATTACTGACTTAACAGTAATTACATTACCCCACTTAACTTCCTGGTTAGTCATACCTGAGCATAGATTTCCAGGTGTAATTCTCCCATTCCAGATACAATAGTCTCTTTGCTCTCATTATCAAAGTGCACTTTAAATGTGGGATCTTCTCTTGTAAACCTGCCAATACCTTTTGAAAATTTTTCCAGATCATTCTTTAAAAGAAGGAAGAAAAGTCATGTGTTTTACAGAGCACAATGAGCAATGGTATTTTTTGAAAGAACATTACTGAATGAAATCAAATATGCCAGCAGTTAAGAAATAAAGATAACCCTTACCTAGCTCTATTCCATGCCTTTTTTAAAAAATATGAGATTGAACACCACACAGCCAGACATCAGTGAATAACCAGCTAATAGGATTCTCTCTTCATGCCAAGACAGAGAACAGGAGTCCAAGACTTAACTCTATGCCCTTTCCTATTACACTGCAAAAACTTCACATGTGTAAAGCTACTCATTAAGTGGAAAGAGACTTCTGTTACATTTTAGAAATGCTACACATCAAAAGAAAACACTCAGCATATCTACCAAGACTCTCTCATAGATTCAGGAGGACTGACTGACTGTTAAGGCCAATAGTAAGGTGAACGGCACACTGAGACTCCCCCTTTCAAAATAGTCTGCTTGGATACAGTAAAATGCACCTTTAGTCCCTGATGTAATTCCACATGGTGAGCAGAATAACAGATCTGCAAAGATGCCCTAATCCTCCCAACCTGTAAATATGTTACTTCACATGGCAAAGAGGATTTTGAAGATGTGATCAAGGTTGCAGAACTTACAATAGGGAAATTGTTGTGAATTACCTGGGTGGAGTAAAGTAATCATGAAGACCTTTAAAAATGGAAGAGGAAGGCAGAAAGGAGGTTGGGTAAGATGAAGTATGGAAGAAGAGGCAGAAAGCTAAACACAAGAGGGACTCAACCCACTGCTGCAGGCATTAAAGATGAAAGAAAGCCATGTGTCAAGGAAGGTAGGCAGTCACTAGAAGCTAAGAATGGTCCTCAGATGACAGAGGAAATGGGGACCCCAATAATATACCCACAGGAACTGGATTCTGCCCACAACCTGAGTAAGCAAGGCAAGATACTCTACCCTAGAAACTCCAAAAAGAACACAGCCCTGTTTGGTTAACTTAGCCCACTGAGAACGTGTCAGTCTCTGACCTAGAGGACTGTAAAGAGTACATTTGTGTTACTTTAAGCTACTAAGCTTGTGGCAACCTCTTATGACAGCAACAGAAAACACGCGCCACACTGCCAGTATTCACAGCCACTGTTTCCCACATGCCTGGAGCTGAAGCATGCATTCTGCACATTATCTTAAACCTATCCTTGATGCTGAAAGACAGAACTATTCATCTTTTACAGAGGAGGGAACTATGTACAGAGAGGTCAGGTTCGTGGCAAGACTGGGACTAAATCCCAGGTTAGGGATCAGGTTGGTCTCTTGCCTTTCCCTGCACCAGCCAAATACTCTCAGCACAGTGGAAGCATCTTTGCTGCACTATCTGTGCCCCCTACCCACTTCCTACCGACGATGTCTCATGGCTTAATGCAGACACTTCATTATTTGGTTTGAAATAATTTACTCCAGCAAGCAGACACTTTTCCAACTTTTAAACATATAAACAACTCCAAAAAAATTTGGATTATGGATGCATTTGAATTATCCGGTCAAATGTTTTACATAAACTCTGGACTTTGGGATGAAAACGCATAATATGTTTCATTTCTAACCTCACTTTTCCAAAGGGAAATTTTGACAATCTCAGCAAAACACCTGGAACAAATTATGACATTTACTAGGAAGGAGGAAAGGCTGCACCTCCTGGAGTCTCTGGGAATAGGCAACCATTTCATGTTTCTTGCCTCCTCTACTTTCTCTTTTCTACACTGAGAAAAGAACTAGAAAACCTCATGATTTCTCAAACAGGTGAAGTATGGTCTCAGTCTATGTACTGAGACCTATGAAACCTTGAGCCCCCAAATAACATTTCCTCCTTTAACTGTTCTTTTTAGTTCTTTTGGTCACAGCAGTGAAAAAGCTGACTAAAACATCTACCCAACATGCACACGTACTTTACAATGGGTTTCACTAAAACTCAGGACAAATATTCTTATTTCCCATTTTTCCATATTTTAAGAATGCAAGAAGGAACATCAACCACTATGACATAATAAAGAGCTATAAAATAGTCTGGTGAGTATTAAAATACCACCATTTTCTTAAAAAATACTGAGGAATTATTGCCATCACACTGATAAATTTAAAAAGAAAATCTTAATATCAAAAGAGGAAACAGACCATTAGGACTGCTGTTTATCACAAGATACAATGTGTATTCCAGTACAAATTAAAAAAAGATCTCAAGTTTTTATTGTGATATAATGAACTTTAAATCAAACTCCTACCTTGTTAGAAGGCTTCATTGCTATTGAAATGACAGGATCAGGAACATGAATTGACTCCTAAAATATTTTTTAATAGAACAGAGAAAAATTCAAAAACTGTATTAAACAGTACAGGATGGATTCATTTAATGTGCTACATTACAAAAGGACAAACACCAGACAACATCTTTAGCCAGACAATTTATATCTTGGTTGGTTTTTATGCTAAAAAGGGAAATATATTAATGTAATATATTAATAAAGCTATTCACTAATATGATGAAACCATGAGCCCCCAAATAAGCATTTCCTCCTTTAACAGGGGCTGGGGCTCAGTGGTAGAGCACCTGTCTTGCACGTGTGAGGCAACGGGTTCGATCCTTAGCACCACATAAAAATAAATAAAGATATTGTGTCCATCTACAACTAAAAAAAATTTTAAAAAACACAGACTTCTGGCATGCAAATGATAAAAAGCTTTGAAATGGAAGAGCTTACCATAGAAAGGTCACTGTTCTCTTTGGTTGTGAACGTGTCTCCACTAGCACAGTCAATGCCAAACAAGGCAAAGATGTCTCCAGCATACACTTCCTCAACATCCTGAGAAAAGAAGCAATACAAATCAAGACACAACTACAAAGTAACTGCACAAGAAAAACTACAGAAAAACAAAGCAGAACTTCCTTCTGCAGAGAGTAACCCATGCAGCACCAACCACCAATCATGCCAAGACAGCTTCTACAGGGTCTTTACTTAAGTACACCTCAACAGACAAGATTTTCCCCCTAATGGAAAACTCAGAGCTATGGCTTCATCACCTGAAGGATCTGAAGTATTCAATTAGTGACTGTGCCTCACAATTCTAAAGTTATTTTTAAAAAACAACTGGGGTTGTGGCTCAGTGGTACAGCACTTGCCTAGCATGCATGTGGCACTGGGTTTGATCCCCAGCACCACATAAAAAAACTAAATAAGCAAAATAATAATACTGTGTTCATCTACAACTAACAATATTAAAAAAAAAAAAGTTAAAAAGCATGTACTATCTGTGCTACCAAAGTTAGACAATGAGATCATAAAAACAGGCATGTACAAGGAAAAACTGCAAAGGAAGTTTTGCAAACAAAGGAAGCGAATGGAGCACACTATACTAAAAATACATTAAATTTCTCACAGAGGCGATCAGTCAAAAACACAGGAAGGCTAAGAACCAAGTCCAGCTGCCACGCTTCCTAGCAATTTCCTCTGAGATTGACAGTCATACACAACAGCTATGGAGTGGTGATGCAGCCTTGCGTCTTGCTTTGATGACTACAGAGGGGTATGTATTTTCTTGAAAAGGCTATGACAAGCACTCATCCTCCCAGCCTGCCCCCTGCTGCCTATCTCACAAAGCAGCAGAGATTTCCGACTTCAAGTCAGCCTATTCCTCTTCCCAAGAGAGATAAAAGTCATGGCCCCTCCCCCAAAATTCCTAAGATTTTGCTTAGACTGAAGAATTTCTCCAGGAACACAGGGCTGGACGGTGGAAGAGTGGGAGTGGGTGCAACCTCATGTACTCGGGGTTTCTGCCAAGCCCTAACCAGAAGGACTAAGAAGACTAGGACAGATTCAGAGCCAACTCAAGCCCAAAGTCAATGACCCAGACTCGACCCTGAGCAGATTTGACCACATGGCCCTGCAAGGGGATCTACAACAAGACTGAAAGCTCTAAGGTTAAACAGGTCTTTCATACCACCACATTTCAGAAAGTGAACATACTGAACCATGTGGAA